CACAAATAGCAATCAAAGCATATGTTTATAATGGTTCAGTTGTCACAGCTCCATGATCTCTGTCTCTTGATGTTGTGACTGTACAGCTGCATGCATTTGCATCATCCTGTCTGTCAGTTGTCATTGCAAGTCTATTTTTTTAATTTTTATTGTGAACTTACATAAATCTCTAGGATTTGGTTGTTCCAAAGTTTTTTCTTCGTTCGTCCTCTTTCTTACAACCTGCTGGTTTGAAACTGGTGATTTATTAAATCACAATTTTTGCATATTTTTGTATTTTTTAAAATCAGCCATATCACATTCTGGGCAGACACTTTAAGATTAAGCCTGATTTTACGTATTTAAAATGGAATAAATTCATATAGAAGAAACACTCATAGAAGTACAGAACACCATATGTAACATAGGAAGAGAAAAAAAAACACAGAGCTGATGCAAAAATAAGAGAGAGAGAGTTACTGGTAGAAGTAAGTGATCGTGTTGTATCAGGAGATAACATTATGATGAAATAAAATTTAATAAGGACGCAATCACTCTGATTCAAAGTTTTGTAACAAATTTATGTATTACATGTAATCAATAAGTGGTGCTGTCATAGGTTTTACACTTGTTTCTCAACTGCGATGTAATTTTCTCCACTTCTAACTAGAACAAGAACTATGGATTTCCATTTAGATGTCCAGCATTTTTTGGCGGCAAGTATCAAGATTTCTGTGAATTTAACAGCATTATCATGAAGAAGGTTTACATTGGTCAAGTTAACCAGTAGGCCTAATTTTAATTGGCAGCTCCTTTGGTAATTTGAAATATTTTTCTATCACAATATTTGCTGTTTGTTTTTGGAGAGACTGCTTAATCAGTAATCTGGGTGTGGGATGATTGTTTGGATTTTTATTCAAGGAGATATTTTGTTGGACTATCTTGCAGTTTGCCATTTTATTTTCCCTCAGAAGAGTTGCACTTTATTAAAATAAAATTAGATAAGATAAAATCCATTTAAAAAAGCAATACTTCTGGCATTTTTGCTGTTTTGTTCCAGTACATTTTTGAAGACAAATTGATTAAGGAATATACATTTAAAATCTTGTCAAAGCTAAAAGCTGAGCCTCCGTCCAAGCTCTCTTATTGGATGTTTCTTACAGCAAAGCTCTCCTAAATTTGTAGTTGACGTCCATCCTGAATTTATTGTAGACACAGTGTGTAACCTATTGCTGGGAGTTTTGTAGTGAAGCTTTTTCTGCTCAGTATAGTTTTTTTGCTGTTTGTTCTGATGTTTCAACCTGCATGTATTCTAGAAAATTAGTTTGGAAAAAACTCAGATCACTTTAACTCTGTGAACCTTACCTGCTCACGGGCAGATTTTATCTCCAGCAAATCATTTCTGGGTCCTCCACTCCTACTTAGCCTGAAGCAGTTTGGATCATATTCATTTGCAGTGGGAGAAGGTCAGAATCCCAATTGGATATTTGTTTGGTACCCAAGCACAGACAGACAATGAGATAGTGGGCTTCCAACCACCAACTATAATGAAGATACCTGAAAGAGGCACAAAATTAGACACACCGTTTTGTGTTCATTTAGCACCTTTTTTTTTTTTATTTGCAGCAGTTCAACTTTTGGAACATTTTGCATTATTTTCTGTTTGTTTCACACCTATTTGTGCTCATTTTGTGTTTAACTAAGAATTATTTTGTCTCCTTGTAGTCTGTTTCCATCTGTTTCTGGTTGTTTGCATCTCCTTGTGATCATTCTGTGTCTCTGCAGGTATCTCTTAGTCATCATGACTCTTTGTGGTCTGTTTGGATCTCTTTGTGTTAATGTTGCAGCTCTTTGGAGTCATTTTGTATTGCAACTGCAAATCTCTATAGTTGTTACTACTGCATCAGACTACGAGGTTGCAATCCCTACAATCATATGTCTAAACTTATGTCTTATCTTTTTGATATTATCTTCTGTTGCCACAAACTCTGTGTTCCCATCTGGTCACAGCTAAATAAATGTATTTATTAAGTTATTCTGCTAAATGATGACGTTGTAGACTACACACTGAATAAAACATAGTACTGCTATCTCCATCACTCCAGCTCAGGCACTGCTGCTATGTTGTAAATACAATATGCTGTCACACAATACTATTTGTACTATAGAGGTTGTGTTCTTTATTTACCTGTTGCCATGGTGAATCAGAGTACCAGAGCTCCACTAATAATGACTGTTTTTTTCATTGACCACACACACACTCAAGTTGGAGTGAGCAAAGCCAGAGAACTGAAAACCTGACTTTCCCACCTGGGTTGACCTGAGAGTTTTTTTGTCTATCACAGAGCTGAAAATGGTTACGATTACTTCAACTCTGCTTCCTGAACTTTTCTTTTGATTGCTAGTCATGTTTACAGCCCTGGAACTGTAATATATTATACAGTTGCACGTATATTTACCAACTAAATGCATGTAACGTGTGTATAATGTCCTCTAGCCCTGAGATGGTGCCAGACTCTAAAAGGTCAATGACAATTAAATGTTTGACTGAGACTAATCTCAAACATCATCAATCTATGTCACAAGCCTGTGAAAATGTAAAGGTTTATTCACCAGCTCATTTTTCCTGTGGTGCACCTCAATTACCAGCCTGAAGCCTGTGACCTCAAGATAGTCACAGCTCCCCTGCTCTCCTGCATCACACAACCCATCCATATCAGCATGTAGAGTCTGTCTGCAGGGCTGGAGGCTGCTGTGTCATCAGGCAGGATCACAAAACTTCCTGTTCCCACCATTTGTGGTTATTAACATTGGTTGTATAGTTTACAGTAGATGCATTTGAAATTTAACAAATGAAACTCATTTATCTCTGATCCTTTTGTTTCATTAAGGATAAATGGATGGATGTCAGACATTTCATCAGCTACATTAAACTGTATTTCTCACTTTTTAAATTTTAATTGTGTAAAGAAAAATTAAAAGAATGCAGTGTTGCAGTTGCTTGTTTGAATGCAGTCTCTTTGTGTGTGTTCTGTCTCTGTCAGACAGTACAGCTGAAGTCCCAAGCTCAGCAGTGTCCAGTTGATGTCTCCACCCAGATGACTGGGATCGGCTGCTACATCTCCTGTATGAATGACGAGCTGGTCACTCCTGGGAAGTACACCACTGCTGACGAGTACCATGACAGGAGGCTGAGAGCTGTGAGTAAACACTGAGGGTGGGTGATTGTAATGCACAATGTTTTTTGTTCCGTTCCAGTCAAGAGTTTGGGCACATCAACTTATTCAGGGTAGGGTTTTTTTTTTTTTTTTTTTTGCTATTTTGTACAAAACTGAAGACATCAGTACTGTGATACAATACATCTGGATTTAGATAGTAAACGAAAAAAAGTGCAAGCAAAGCAAAATATGTGTTCATTTTGACATTCTTCATAGTGTCCTGCTGAAAAACATACCAACAATTGGGATGATGCATTGCTGCAGAATGTTGTGGTAGTCACACTGGTTACATGTTGTTCTGAATTCTGCATTAATCACCATCTCAGCTCCTCTTCCATGCTGTGTACATGCAGGTAGCATATGTTTACTTTCTCTGCATCTCCAAACGACACAGCATCTGGAACCAACAATCTCACACTTGGACTTTGGATCAGACCAAAGCCCAGATTTCCACTGATCAAATGTCCATTGTTGCTGTTTCTGCATCCAAGCAATTCTCTTCTTCTTATTGGTCTGCCTCATTATGGTGTCTTTGCAACAATTCAACCATGAAGGTCTGATTCAAAGGGAACTCTTGACCTTCTCTTCTTCAGGTGGTCATCATGAAAGCCAGTTTCATCCCAGCATTTGATGGTTTTTGAGGCTTTTCACTTAAAGACTTAAGTGCTTGAAGTAGTTTTGATGTCTTCAGTCTGTTTTACTCTGAAAAGAATTATAAAAAGAAAGACAAACTCTGAAAAGAGGTATGTGCATAAATATTGATGACAACCCAATAGCATAGCTTTAAATCCTGACTAAAGTTGTAAAGAGACTTACTGTACTGTATATAACTATGGTAAATTAGTGACATATACATAAAATTGTATTGCATTAATTTTAAATGTAAAATATGATCAGTATATCACTCGTCATCCGCCCAGGTGATCTGTCTGCAGTCATATACTCGGCGCTGGCTGGCCCAGCAGGCGGTGGACAGGCTGAAGAAGGAGCGCCAACGGCGACTGACCTGGCTGGAGATACAGGAGAGGAGGAGGAGAGAGGAGAAGAAGGAGCAGCTGAGAGAACGTCGCCACGGCTGGATGAACCCACAGAGGAGGGAGGACTTTAACCTGCTATACCACGCTCTAGAGAGTAGGCTTAGGAAGGGGGTGTTGTACATCCGTAAAAAGTGTTGATGAACAAAATGTTTTAGCTGTGTGTGTGTGTGTGTGTGTGTGTGTGTGTGTGTGTGTGTGTGTGTGTGTGTGTGTGTGTGTGTGTGATTCAGAGTGGAGGAGTGAGGAGGAGCAGCGGATCAACGCATCTCTGCAAGGAGCTGAGAGGAAGGCAGCTCTCTGCTCGCTGTTAGACAAGGAGACAGAGCTTATCGCCACCATTGGACAACATTACATCGCCTTCCAGAACAACAACTTCGACAAAATCGTCAAGAACCTCCTGGACAAGGTCAGAGGTCATTCCTGTTACTCTGCTCCCAGGTTTCTCAGTCCAAAACAACACAGTTTTTCCAATTATGTATTTAAAATAGTCTTGATGTCAGGGCTGCAAAAAAAAAAGCAAAAAAAAAAGTTTTTGAAATTCTCACTGGATACTACCTTAGTAAAGTTCAATTAATCAGTCAAACACAAAAAGGGAAAGTTGCAGTGTATGTAATTCTGTATAGTCAAAGGTAAGTAATTAGCCCACCTTGATCCAGGTTGTCTGCAGGTTCCTGAATTCAGTTTGCTTCACAAAAATGCCTGAGAAGGCACTAAGAGTTTACATTTGGGTCCAGGTCATGCAAAATGATTAGCTATATGAGGGATTCAATGCTGTGAAGTGCACACAGCAATTTGATTTTGAGTAGGGTCCAGAAACCATACAGGAAGAATGCTTCTATTTTGTTTTTGTTTCTAATTTAATACAAAATGCTTACTTCCAAATGAAAATATATTATAAATACTATAAATCCTTCCCCATAAAGATGAGCTATGTTCTGCTAAAAACTTGAAGGACTGCCATAGTTTTAACAGACGAACAATGACTGCAGGTTGATCCGGCTGAGTTTCTTCTGAACACTGCTTCACTTGAAAGATACAACTCCAGAAACTCTAGTATATAATATATTATCCCACATAAAATGTTAGAAATGAGTAGTAGGTGTAGTTATAGAAAGAGAAAATGTGTTATATAGTAAAGTGTAAGAAGTAGTATAAGAAGATATAGGAACAGGAATAGCAGTAATAATAATATGATGAGCATATTGCTAGTATTTCTGTTGAAGTAGTTGTAGTAGAAGTAGACATGTAGCAGATGTAATCGCTGTGGTAATATAAATAACAGCAGTAACTGTGGTGTCTGTATCTTTTTGCTACTGCCACCATTACTTGTACTTCAGCAAGTTGCAGGAGAAGAAGCAGTAGTAGTGCTAAAAGTAGCGCTAACAGTGTAGTGTGTTTGTTCCAGTCTGCAGCTCCTCATCGGTGGCGAGCAGCAGACGGTCATCTGATTGAGATGGACAATCAACACACCATCAGAGCCAGAGAGCTCCGCGATCTCTACAACAGTGTCAGCCTGTTCACCGTCAGCCAGGAGCAGAGATGCCACGTCCTGATGTCACTTAAACACACTGTCAATGTACAGCACACTCACACATACACACACACACGGAGACACGATTCTGTTTAGCAACCAGTGTTATTTTAAAGTGAACAAGGTGTTGTTCAAAAGCAGAGCAATTCCTTATCTAGAAAAGTGCACAAAGTCTGCATGAAAAAACAATTACTTCTATACTAAATGTAAAGGTAGCAAAAATAGGAAACCTAACAGTGCCATCAAAGGTACCATCAAACAGTGTTGATGGTACCCACATAGAATTTCACAGGATGTCGTAATGTCGATCGTCCTCTGATTTGTACATCACAAGACCACAATTCCCGTTTTATATGAGCATTACAGTTCTGTACGGAAGTTGTTGTTACTGTCGGCAGCATCATTGTCTATCCGTATTTGACAGGAGCAGAAGTGCCAGCTGACCCAAGACATCGTGGATTTGATTGACAGGGAGGTAGACCTGATGAAACGAGAGGTTAAGACAAGAAATCTAGAAGGACTGAGGAAGAGGATCTGCACTCTGTTCCTCCAGTACATCAAAACACCAGCGTTCAACCCGGCAGTGGGCAAGTTGCTGAAGGTGAGAAAAGAGTCCTCCTGGTCTGAGATGGTATGTTTGATACTTAAAAATGAGTATCTCGGTATAATTAAATATCTATCCCAGGTTCCCCAGAATCCTTCCAAGCTGAAGAATGACGTGTTCTGCTGCCACTCCTGTCATCGTTACCTGCGCTCCACCAACTTCATTGCATCAGCCAGCGGTCTGAGCGGTCGCTGCAAGGACTGCACCAGAGTTGATAATATAGCTAGAACGCGTGACGACTTCTCTTGCTACAAGAACATCCTGAGGAGGCTGAGAGCTGACGAACAGCAGCTCAACAAGGAAGCCAAGATCCCTTTTCTGCTGCAGGTAAGGTATTTTTTATTTCTTTTACAAGCCTCAGGAGAATTCTTTATGTCCTGCAGTTTGCTGCAACGTTTTAGTAGTGCAGATGTAATGTGTAGTAGAATTACGCTTTGTAGTTCAGTTGCACTCGTTAATTTAGGGGCACCACCTCCGTTTACTGAGGAATTGTTTTAAATGAAATCTCAAAGAGACTTTAGTTGATTAAATTGACCTCAGCTCCCACACAAAGAAAGACACGAAACCGTGAGTTGGTCTAAAATAGAGTTGTTTAGTAACTATTCTACTGCTGTAATACGCATGAACTCCAAACAGTGGAATTGGAGTGTGTGTAGTGAACGTGTTATATCAGATTTCCCAGCTAAATGAGGAGGATTATGGTGAAAGCAGGATAGTTAGAGAACGATCTAACGATAGTGATTAATAATTTGGTTCACGGTGGATATGCTTATGAGTTATTAAATTGTCATAACATCAACCCGATCAGGAGCAGGTAGAAAGGTTGGCTTTGCCTACTTTGTACAGCGCTGATGGGAATGGAGTCTCCTTTGGCTGGAACAGCTGTTGATGGACAGACACTTTTTCACGACGCACTCAGGCTGTTTCCTTCCATTGTGAAGTTGCCTGGCAACGGCTTCTGCCGTGGAGCTGCCAGCGGCATAGCGTTGGAGGCCCATCAGCAGGCTTCAGCGTTGGCACACAGTGGTGGATCTGTCGGAAGGCGGCTGGCGTCCCGTGCACGGTGTGCGCACTCCTCAGGGTTGATGAAGAATTACTTTACTATTAACGGTGGCTCTCGTTATGTTTTTGGCCATGTTTGGCATTAGCCGTAAAACACAAAAGTTTTGGAAAACTGAGGGCGAAGGTGCGGTTTAACTGTTATGTTGCCAAAGCTTAAATTCTTCTGATTCTTGTTGGTTTTGTTTGACAGAATCAAACATGTTAAGTAAACTTAAAGTGAAGGTGAGCACTATCTTAACAAAACGAAGTCAAAGACTAAAACAAAGAACTACAAAACCAAGATGCATAAAAAGATGAAAGAAAAACTTGAAACGAAGAAAAGACGCTAAGCAAGACATGATAAAATGGAAGAGCGGAAAAAGACAAAGGGAAGAAAAAAGAACAGAAGAGCAAGAGCGCAAGAGGAAGAAGAGAGCGAACAAAAGCAGTCTCCTACTTTTATTCTCCGATCTTCAGGAGGCGTGCTGGGATCAGTTAGGGGATAGAAGTGTTGGTAAGAGTGGGGGAGGGTATCCATAGAAAGACGAAAAAACAGGAATGTGAGCGTCCATGCTGTAAGGAAGTACCTGCATCACCATGTTTCCAGTGGAATACCGACGGTGAAGTTGATCACAACAGGCTCCTGCTGTAATTGGTAATTGTAAGTGGTTCTTCCTGAGAACAAGTGGGTTTTCCCGTTCTGTATAGTGTCCAAGGTGGCAGTTTTATGGTGGGAGTAGATCTAGAACTTAAACAAAAAGAATGCTTGTTACCTGGTGTGCCCCCTCGCTTGACATTCCAGAGAGAGCCAAGCTGTATCCGCGACACAGATATCCAAACCCCATCTCCATTCTTTCAGGTGGAGGACATTCGGTACCTCGTAGAGGTGCTCTGGTTGTCTCGCTCAGCCCTCAACGCCAGCAGCGACCTCTACAACCTGGTGTTTGTTCGCTGGGACCACCAAAGGGACTGGAGCCCCTGGAACTGCATACTGCTGTCTAAAGAGGAGACTTCAGCTCACTTAGAGGTGGAGGACATCGACAAGGTTTGTCTGTGTATACATTTACACTCACATCACACATGTAGACTCATCTGATATTGACATACATTCTTTATTAGGACTGCCCCCTCAATCAGAAGAAGCCAGATTTGACTCTAGCTCCCTACCTGTCAAGGTTAACTAATTAAAACTGTGTTTTAATGAGTACCCTTCTACCATACAGTCAAAGAGGAGTCCATGGATCATAATGTGTATATGAAGAAACACTAGTCAATCCAAGGTGTGATTCTGACGCGACAGTGAAACTTCAGAGTCAGGAGCAGTCCTAGTCTGTGTCTGGATACATTTACACTTGGTGTTCTAATTAACAAAATCTAAATATTTTAATTATACCCAATGTAAATTTTGAATACAAACCAAATTATGAATTCTCACCTTCAAAATACACTCCGGAATTTTGTTGACACCCCTAGAGGTTAAAAAAAAAATGCTCACCCCTTTTTTCATCAAGGGAACCTTTCCATCCCCTTAAGAACCTTTTTGGATCCACAGGAAGATTTTACCTGGTGGATCTGAAAATAGGTTCTGGGCCACAGCCCGAGCCTGTCTGAATGTACATCCGCACTAGGTGATGTGTATATCATGCTAAGATGAAACATGTAACCCAGGGTTTTACAACTCAAGTTCAGCAGTATCAACAGTTCCGTTCCTTATACAGCTCCTCAGTTTGGTCAATGGCCATAGCCGCTGGTACCTATGGCTACCAAAGTTACTTTTAAAGGTTTTCGTAAAGGTTCCTGGAGTTTTTTGTTGCTGTAAGCATTTTACTCTCAGCTTCTGTTAATGTTTTGACCTGTTTTATCCTTCAAAGTCTTCTGCCAACAAAATCATCCTGATCAAGTTCATCAGAACATAATCAAACTTTTCTTTGACAGAAATTTGGGTTCTGATTATTCTTTGAAAGTAGGGCTCACATATTTAACCATTAACAGATTTTACACAACACTCCACTTCTAAATGAGCCTCTCAGGCCAGCTGTTCCACAAACTGAGTCTCCTGTTGTGTTTAGGCATATGAGGCGGCTTTCATCTGTGGGGTTAAACACAAACATAGACGAGCTCAACGCCACTTCAGCCAGGTATCTGTCATGGCTGAGTACCTGGACTCTCAGCCGGCTGCTGCCATTGGCAACCAGCTCGTCTCCAAGCCCATCACCATGGCAACATGCCGGGATGCCACTGACACCTCACCAGACTCAGCTCATTAAGAAACACTTTGTGTGATTTTCTTTCTTCTGTAACTTCCTATAAACATTCTGACTAAAGTCTAGAATAAAGTAAATTCTCTTCTATGGCACCTGAAGTCTTTCTCTTTTTTTTTTCAAATTCCATTTAATTGTGCCAAATAAAAATGATCACAGATAAGGAGCGCTGAGTAATAAGTGAGAAGATAAGTAATTCCTTATCTTAGAGCCAAGAGCTGCATCTAAATCCCAGTAATTACAAAACAACATGTTCCTACTGTGAATAATGTATTTTAATACACATAGCATGGTATATTAGTCTGAGGCATCACGTAAAATGGTTATTTGTCATTTGCATACTTTAGTTTTTTGTACTGATTTAACAAACAGTGGATAGCATGTTCATTAGTGAGCTGTAGAGGACCTGGTAGGTGGCTTTTCTTAACACTGAGCAGAGCCAGATTAGTTGTCTTCTCTGGGTTCTTTGTCGGCCAACACTAGGAAGAGTACTGGCTGGTGGTTCCAAACATCCATTTCACAATAATTAAGATCACTGTGCTCCGGGGATCATTAAAACCTCTTTTATACCCTCACCCTGATCTTTGGATTTCACCCCTTTGTCCTGACATGTAGTGTAAATTGTGGGGCCTTATACACTGATAGGCGGCCACATTAAAACCACTGATCACTTGTGAAGTAAATGATATTGGTAATGTTGTTACAATGCAATGTTTTGCTGGGAAACTTAGGGTCTTGCAATTTATGTGGATTGTGTGGATTTTGACAGGTGCCATCTAAACATTGTTGAAGCACGCTCCCCATGGTCAGATTCTAGGCACATCGAAAGGATAATAAGAGCAAACAGGACCAATCTTTTCACTATTTTGAGTTGTGCAGCAAAGAGTCTCGGTATGTTTATCTGATTTTAAAAGCAAAACTCTAAAAGCAATATATTTTTTTGTCATTATTAGTTACTGAGTGATGGGCAAACATAGCAGTTTTAAAACTAAATGAATAACAACACATTAGAATGTGGAATAGTTTTTACTTGTTCTGAGGCTTTTTTTGCCAAACAGATCCTGATCTCAGGATCGCATTTCTTAAATAAATAAATATGTTTAATAATAAAATAAAGAAAAGCTTAACCCACAATTAATCATAAAGCATGCAAAAAGCAGAGTGGTCTCAACACTTTCTGAACACACTGTAAATGTACTCTTAACATGTTTTTAACTTGGCTCAAATCCATTCTCATGCTCCTCCAAATCAGCTTCACTAAGAATGTTTCTCCCGAATTTTAACAATCAGAGGCATTAGGCACAGGTCAAAGGGCACAAATAGAGCTGGAAACTGTTTAACGGCCCTCTCGGGACTTTAAGATAAGGAGTGAAACGATACCATAAGTTCAAGGAACAACTGTGAGAAGCGCATGGTCCTTTTTTATTGATTCTTTGAGGACAAAGCACGCTGTGCTCTGTTTTTTCTCTCTTTTCTGTGATTTTTAACACGTGTTAAGGCCCATTAAAGGAGGATTTAATAACAGCAATGTAGGCAAAATGTATGCAGATACTTCTACAGTCACAAAGAGCTTGGAGTGGCAACAAGGCAGCAAGGTAAGGTGTATCACTCTTAGTGTTTTACTGTGTTAAGATGATTCGTAAAGTGTCATGAAGATCCCAAATATTGCAAGTTGATGCTTAAGCCAATATTAATGCATTTACAAGGTTTTCAGAGCCTCTTAGTTTTCCACATTTTATAATGTTTCAGACTAATTTTCTCGTCAATCTGCACTCAATGCTCCACAATTGCAAAGCAAAAAACGAGTTTTGGAGTGTATTGTTCATTTAATAGAAGGACTGAAGTACTGAATACTAAAAGGGCTGAACAGAGACGTGAGACAGATCAGGTTATGCAGCAGGCAGGACAGTGACAAGATTTACCGTGAGTAGTGACATCTAGTTCAAATATTTTGTAAAATCCAGTCAGATTCTTTTGTTAAAAAGTAAAGAAATACAACCTTTCAACTACTCAAAAGGTTTTTGTTTATTCATTTATTAATTTTTGATTTTAGCACCTTTATATTTTCATACAAGTGTAGAAATAGATTATTGTGTCAAATTCACTAACAATGCCCTCGTGAAATACCTTAAATTAAAGGCTGTCACTCTGGGATATAACCTTTGTGTTGGAAGAGATAACAAGCAGCTACTAATGAGGTTTGGTACCGTGCTCTAGAATACTCCACTAGATACAGACACATAATCTGCAACCCCCAACAGGTTGAGGCCCACCTGACTCTGCATTCCAGCTAACAGAGTCAGTCATCACCTGCTGTAGCAACTGCAGGGTCACAAGAGGAGCCAGAGTGAGAAAACAAAGAAAACCACAGTAAGAACAATGCTGAGGAGTTGGAGAAGAGGACTGTGGAACTATCGCAGCATTGTCCTGATCATTCTTTCACCACTCCTGCTGCTTCCTCTTCCTCTCGTCATAGGGACGAAGGTGAGTTTCCTTTACACAATGGCAAAAAGACCAGTACAAAGTGTAATCTGTAACAATGATAAACTTGCAACTGCTCTGAGGTTTATGCATCAAAGAAGACCGAGCTAAGGGGATGAAAGAACTTTACAGCTCTGAAAGACAATAAAATATCCTCGCATTGCTCCTGTGGATTAAACCACCTGTCAGCCAGAAATGTGGGAGGTACTTCAACTTCAACTACAAGTTCAAGTGTGATAGGGCGTTGATGCCAATAGCAGGCTGTGTGGGAGGTAATAGGAATTTTTGCTTTTTTGTTTTTTTGTTTGTTTGTTCGTGTTCAGTCTGTCAAGTGCAAAGGTGTTCAGTGAAGAGCTGTTCTTTAGTCTTTTCTTAAAGACTGAGAGGGACTCAGCAGATCGAACAGAGTTTGGTAACTCATTCCACCACCAGGGAACCACAGAGGAGTAGAGTCTCGCTATCGACCTCGGGCCCTGTTGTGGTGGTTCTATCAGGTGGCTTTTGTTGGTCGAGCGTAGTGAGCGAGAGGGAGTGTAGACCCGAATGAGAGAGTTCAGGTAGGAGGGAGCTGTTCTCATTGTGGTTTTGTAAGCAAGTGTCAGGGTTTTGAATTTGATGTGGGCAGCACCTGGAAGCCAGTGAAGCGATCTGAACAGCGGGGTGACGTGTGCTGTTTTTGTCTGGTTGAACACCAGACGTGCTGCTGCATTCTGGATCATCTGCAGAGGTTTGACCGTGGATGTAGGGAGGCCTGCCAATAATCGAACCTGCAATCGAACCTCAGTCCTCTCGTGGTGTTTCCTTTGCCTCTTGTCTTCTGCCTTTTCTTGGTCCTGAATAATCAGAAATAGATCAGCTCAGATCGCTTCTTTTACTCTCCACTATTTTTCTTCGTTGGCTTTTGTTCAGCCAACACTATATTTATTCTCTCATGGCCTCTGTTTTCAGTTTTCACACTTTCATTTCTTTTCAGAGGTTTTGAAAAGATTTAGTCAGGCCATTGTGTCAAGGCTCTTTTTTCTTGTCCTTTATTACAGCCTGGTTTTATTTCTGCTGTGCATACTCTTTGTCCAGAAGTCTTTATTGTTCTTCTTTCTCTTCTTGGATCTTTTTTTTTTGGTCTCTTGTTTATCATCTGCTGAAGCTGGTCATCACTGGCAAGTCTTTTTCTGCTCCCATTTTAACAGGATACTGCTATACTCCTTCCTCTTCCTCCTCTTCCTCCTCCTGCTGCTGCACTCTAATTTGAGAGTTTCTCTAATTTGTATTACACTTTTTTTTTAAAAACTTATTTTCCACTTATTCTAAAATGTAGTTCTCTGTGTGGGATTGTGTTTGCAGCTGATGTTGATGGACAGCGTTGTATGGGA